AAAATTTTTGTTTCTATTGTATTATTATTAGATTTTAGAAGTTTGAGTTTTTGTCTTTTAGTAATATTAATGATATTTTCTTTATTTTTATTTTTATTGTTATCTTTAGCAGATAAAGCAGTAGTTTCTTTATTATTTTTTAAGTTATTTGAAATACTTTGTTATATAGTTTGAGTTTTTTTTCACAATTGCTTTATCTTTTTGTTGTTGATAACATTTTGGTGAGAAGATTAGCAGAAAAGAATTTTTTTTATTTAATTTGAATTATTAATTCTTTTTTAAATTTGTAATAAATATAATATTTAAAGATTTAATATTTATTACATATTTTAATTTTATTATTGATAATATATTTATATAAATAATTTATAAATCAGTGATTCAAATTAACTAAAATTTTGATATTTGATATTTGTAATATAATTTTATAATATATTAAAATTTTGTTTAATTTGAATTGCTGAATGATAAAATAAATAATAATAAATAATATTTAAACTTGTGATTATAATTTATCATTTTTAAAATTTGTACAATATGAATTAGCGAATATTTTTACAACTACTGATTGAAATTACATAAAATTTTATGCAATATAGTTTGAGATTTTATCTATAATATATAAAAATTTAGTGTAATTTGAATCAGTAGTTATTGAGCAATTTGATGTAGAATATAGTATGCAGATACTTTTATTTACCCTCTATATAAAAAAACTTTTATTATGATCTTGATGATCTGAAGTATAGTATAGTAATATTAATTATAAGATAGGTGGATAGTAAAAAATTTAATAGTTTAAATAATAAAGTGAAATAGTGAAAAGAAACTGCTATTATATGGATTAGGGCTTAGCGGAAAGCATAATATTATTTTATTTCATTCTTTATTTCTCCCTTTAAATATAATCTACTTTATTAGTTTCATTTTTACTTAGTCAGCCAACCCTTTCTCATATATTGTTTTACAAAAAAAATATAATAAAGATTTCACTTTGAATTTTTTAAATATATGTATGTATTTTAATTATTTTATGTGTATATACATACTTAAATATAAATTTTATATTCATTATCAATAAAAAATAATTTGTCTATATCTGGTTTATAATAAAAAATTAAGTGTTTTACTTCTTAAAAATACGATAACAAAGAAATAAAGATGTTGAGATTTACATTAAATGGTCTAGGATCCTCAGCATCATATATTTTATAACATTTCTTTCTAAAAAAATTATATTTTTAATATGTATAATATAAAAAAATTAAGTTATATCATGTATTAGGTGAATCTAATATATTTACGATAACTTGAATTTTATAATCATTTCTTATCAAGATAATTTAAGATCAGTATAAAGAATTAGCGTTCTTATAATAATTAATAAAGCTCAAACTCATAAGCTCATTCAGATTTAGATGCGTTTATATAGCTTGATAAAGTTAAAATTTAAATTATATATAATATCTCAAGAAAATAACTCACTCTTCAATTAATTTTTCTTTTATTTATCTTTCAGATTTTACTTCTCATTATTTTGATTTTTAAAGCTACTTTTAAATCGTTTTTTTATTTATTTTTATATTAACTCCCCTTAACTAAAATAAAAATAAACTATTTTAAATTTTTCAACAATATATAAAATGCATTCTGAAAGTCACACTTAAGCAAATCAATGAAGTCTTTAAAATTAGTAGTATTTGAGCTGTATTATTGATTTCTAAAAAACTCTACAGTTTGATCATATTGTATTTTTGTCTGATAACTAACTTTGCTTTTTTAGTTTCCTAACTAAATTTAGATGAACATCCAGGTAATCCATTGTATTATAATGATTGACCAACATGAACGTGATATGCTAACTTTATTATTTTATAATACAATACAAATGAAAAAGTTTCAGAAAATTAAAAGTTGTTAATTCTTTTCTCAAAGGTATATAATTTATTATTCTAAGCACTTAAGTTTATATTGAAACTAATTAACACTCTATTACTCTAATAGGCCTATCATATAAAGAACTAAAACCCTTATTCTATAATATAGGTTCAAAATAGGTGTACTAACTAGATCAACATTTGTATAAAATATTGCAAGACAAATTTAAGGAATATTATGTAAACTTTCTTAATAAAAATAATGACAAAAGTTATATTCCAATGTACTTTTTCCTATTCTGAGCTAGTACTGGTAAGTCTAGAAATATAGAGGAATTCCAAAAGATTGCATTAAAATATTTATCAGACAATATAGATTTAGAATTGAAGAAACGAATTCAGAATGCTTGAGTGTTTAAGGTTAGCTTCAAAAATGATGATAGTATGAGACAAGATGTGGAATTGAATACATATCATGCTATTAGTACATAAATTCTTTCATAATTTCTTTTAGACTAGCATTTGAATCTAATTATTATGAATTACAAGACGTCACTTCTATAGGAAGTTATTTAATTAGTTGCAAATCATGAAAAATACAATCTGAATAATATTACTATTTTTTTAATCATTGATGGCTTGCAGAATATTATTCATTTGATTGATGATTGGAATATCTGAACATCTGAATTTTTCAAATAATAATAAATATACACGACCTTGCTTTGAAGAATGTCTTTTTGATTGCTTTGTATACTGCAACTGTTACTGATTCTGTTGATAATATATTGAATATTATACATTGTAAATGAGTATTCCTATCAATCGTTTCTTTAAATTTTCTGAACATTATAAAGATGATACTTTGACTTCTATTTTTTAATCAGACGATTATATTATTGAAATTTTAATAAGTGATTGCAGTGGATATGAAAGAGCACTTGAAACTCTTTAAGACATCTTGGAAAAATGAGATATTAAAAATATAAATATTAATGAATTGATGAATGATTTGCAAATTCAGCTTCACAATAGATATAGTAAAGCTCTTGAGTTTTCTTCTAGTATTATTAAAACTATTGCACGTTTAATATTCACCCAATAACTCTTAGAGCCTGATCAATATATCCCAGGTACACAAAAATACCCTTCACATATTGTATAACTCAGACTACTTTATTACAAATTTGAAGGTAATTTTAAAGTAGGCTATTTGACTGCTTCTTATAACTAGATGTGAATTTTAACAGAATCTTCTGATGGTTGCAAAGATCTAGTACTTAAAGACTGATATTTTGTGATTACAAAGATCACAAATTAAAGAAAAGTTTATTTAGCTTAGCGTCTCAACAGTGGCAACAATTTGAACATTTTATTGCATCCTTCTATTTATTAAAATCAAAAACATAAACGATAAAGAAATGACAATCATGTCTGCCATTCATACTAGTGCGTATTTGAATGGTGATAAGTTTCAATTTGTGAATCACCATTTAGATTTAGAATGCACAGCCCACTATGAAGATATAAATTCAGATTATTATATTAAAAGTAGACATATTCAATGTGAGAATGATCGTACTGTAAATATTTGTGAAGAAAGATATTGTATAATAAATAAAATATCTGCTTTATACAGGGATGCATTTCTCAGATTGGATATAAAATCGAATAACAATCCAAATAAAGTACACCAGTATAAGAAATGAATAAAAAAAAACTCTCAATAGGTTTAATTTCATAGAAGAATGCAAGAAATCATCATTGTCAAGAGATTTTTTTCTGCTTTTTACTATAACAAAGGTGAATAATTTTGTTACCAAAAAACTCTGGCTTAGTAGATTTATCCAATTAGTGTAAATACTTTAAAGCATTTACAGGTAAGGCGTTTACCTATACTAATGTAAATCCTTTAAATATCAACACTGCAGATAAAAGAGAACTCCAGCTAGTGAAAGAAATCGATAAAAAATGAGCAAATATTATCATAAATAAGAGAAAGTTCAGAGACCTTGATGATGCATGTATTGAGATAGGAATATCAATGTCTGTGTTAAAAAGATTTAAATGTGAATAATATGTTTAATATTGATTTTATATGATAGAAGAAAGAATTTGTTAAAATTATATATTAGTCTAGCTTTTTATAAGATATAAATACATTAGAACTAATTTAATTATTTACTTTATCTTTAATAATTAATAAATGTATTAGAAAAATAAAAATTTTATTGTATAAAAATCTTTTCCCGAAAAAGTGATAAAAATTACATTTTTTTATAATATTTTGTTCTGCCTAAAGAAATACTCTATTATTTTTTGTTTCATCTTCTACTGCGTAACTTTCAAAAAATGTCACGAAATTTCACGTGATATAATTTGTTACCAGTGTCACTTATAATATGGGCATTCTTAACCTAGGGAGGGGGTGTAGACCTTTATCCTAAACTGCAACTGTATATGTCACGTGATATATATTTTAAAAATATTTATTTATATAGTAATGTTAAATGAACTTGGTAATATGAGCACAACCTAATTAAGAAAATTAAACATAAGGGGAATGAGCATGAGTTAATAGTGAATGAGTGAAGTTGAGAAGGACTATTATTAACTTATTAGGTAATTATACAGTATGTCCTGTAACAATATTCGAGTTGTAATCATTTACTAAGTATAAAAATCGAACTAAATCATTTTTCAGCTTTTCAAGTTTTTCACAGAAAAATTTTGGACATGCCTTTTCCCACACTTTTCCAAACTCTTATCGCCGTAACTGAAGAGAAAATTTATATACCGTTTAACAATAGTGACCAGTAACTAGTATTTCTTAGGCATCACATGAGGTAACTTCTTTTCTCCTAAAATGGTCTTCGATATCATTCTCATAACGTTAGGTAGCTATTATTATAAGGGAAGTATCTTTTTCTTTTCCCTTTAACGGTCTCTCCCCTTACTTAGATTAGTTTATTTTATTTTTCAAACTGTTTTATTTAACAATGAGATTTAGGTTTTCATGTAGATCGAGGGTCTTAATAAGGTTTAACGTTGAGATGCATTTCATGGGTATCTTTGTTGTCATTCTTAGGGTAACAGTTTGATGAACATTGATAAATTACCCCCATGAATTTGTTATCTGACCCAAGAGTTATTTACTGTGTAGACTCCTTTGATAAACATCAAATATTGTTGGGTTTTGCACATATAACTTCTTCTTCAGGTAGCTGTTATGATCCTCCTTCTTAGGTTTACCTTATTTTTCTATTCATTGTTAGTAATTACAGTTTCTCTCTTCCGCCCCATCTATTTTTAGTGCTTTCTTCTGACTTTTTTTTTTCCTTCTTTTTATCTAATAGGTGGTGGATTTGTTTTTAATAATCCTAGAAGGTTAATATTTCAAGAGAGTTTTTATACCTTAATGCATCGCCTATGGTTAACATAATGAATGGCAAGTAATTTATATCGGTTTTCGAACGATATGGCATGTCTTCATAATATAATTTCGATCAAACACATCAATATCAATAAAATGTAATTTATATCTATTAAAGAGAGAAACTTATAAAATTTTTATTAATGAGAATAATGAAAATTCTAATAAAATGTTTAATAATTTTTGAATTTTTGAAAGTCAGTTCCAATTAATGCAAAAAAAAAAAAAAAATTATTTTTTTTTATGATTATTCGACTAGACTTAAGAATTTTCGCTCGAAAAGAAAGCATTTAAAAGGAAAGTTCTTTTCCTTTATGAGAATAAACTTAATTCGTATTTAATAAACAAAATAAATTTTTGATATAAAAAAAGATTATGCTGTGCAAATTGATTCGCAATTTCACAAATCTGGTTTTAGGAATAGCAGTTGCATCGAATTCAAAAATACTTTGAACTGTCATATGCTTTGAACTTTGATAATAACTATCAAACCAATTTTTCCTTGCTCCCTTTTTTATTTTTATTTTTCGATTACAAATGCTAAAAATTATTTATTAACACGCTATTTCATAAGACATCGTTGAAATTATTGTCAATAAATAAATGCTTGCCCCATTTTATATCTTGCTTTTGCGCTCTCAGACTTTGATAAGTTTCCTTTAAAGAAATATTAATGATTGTTATAATTATTCTTTTAAAATCATTTTAATTAGTAAATTACATAAATTAGAGCGATTGTGATTTTATTCTAAATTGTCCATGATATATTTATTTATTTTGGCATTTTTTTATTTTTTTTTTAATTTAAATTCCAAAACATACGTCAAATTTAACAATAAAGAAATGTACTGATTAAAGTGAACTTAACAATATTTATTTTTGTTTTCTCGATTTATTAAAATATTTCTTTGTAAAAAAATAATAAACACAACATAAGGTAAAAAAAAATGAACCTGACAAAAAGGTGTTGTGCATTGAAATTTATTACTCAAAAATAGCTGATATAATTTTTGAGAATAATAAGTAGAAATTTAGAAATTTTGCTTCTGGTTCGTTAAAAACTAGAAAGTTAAATATTATTTAATTCAAAATAACCAAACCGTCAAAACTCGAAACTATAATAAAATCTTGTCAAAAGTCAAAAACTATATTAAAGACTTATTAACAAATCCGTCAAAATATAAGGTTTCGACTTTTGCCATTTGTTAAAAATGAGATTTGCCAAGCAACCAACTATAGTAAAATCTTTCAGGTAGTTACACCTCAAAATTAATAAAGATTAAAAAATATTCTTTAAATTGAAATGGTGATCCAAAAATATTACGAATTCAAATGTATAAACTTTCAGTCAGACATCACAAAGTTGAAATAGGTGTGTAAAATTTTTTCTCTTGTAATTTTTAAGGGTCAGCATAAGGTTTATCATGTTAATTACTGAAAAGACATTTGTAGTTGTTGCTTCTTTGGTATACGACGAAACAGAAAGATCATCCCTGTTTATTTTCAATATAAAGCTGAAGTTTCAATCAAAGGTACACCTCCACATAATGATGCTAAAAGTGGCTCATTCTTTAAAGTTTGAACATCCCTGATCAAAAGAAACGTCAAATAATCATTGTCAATATGGAAAGCTGTAAGGTTAGAAGACACAACCTTGTTGCATATACAGTGATCCAATCAGCAATAAATGTCGAGAAAATTGTAAAAGAAAATTGTAGATATCAGACTGTACTTATGATATTAATATGGGAGGTTTGCTTAAAACCACATTATGGATCACATGAATAACAATGTTCGTGATAGCAACTTCCCATATATAAGCGTATTGACAATTTTTTTTCGACAGAAGTCGCGTGACAAAA